AATAAATCCGTCAACAAGCAAACGACACAAGTTTACAATGATCCATAGTGATAACATAGACATTTAAAATTTACATATTTCCTGGGAATTTCTCCACAACTATTAGACTGTAAAAACCCTTCAATATACTTGTTTCCTGATTTACGAACTTTGTCAAATAAACCTTTTTACGTTTGTATCAAATTTTATCAAAATCGGTTGACTTTTGCTCGAGTTAATGTACTAAATGATTATGAATTATAACTTATAGTATTTTTACCCTCTGGGACATCCAAACGTAAATATTGGGTCCAAATCTTACCATTATACCTACGATTCCCTATGTGAAATTCGCTAAAGATATTCATGTATGCAATACAGATACATTTATAATCACTAATCACCAAACATTTCTCGGTTTTACGCATCACCACCACTACAGTGATGCGTATGTTCATCGAAGCATCACCGTGTGACACCAACAGTCCAACAGGGTAGCGAAGCGCTTCGCCCTTGACCCGGTAATATAGTATTACTAGTACTGTACTTATCGCTATACCTTGTGTTTACAATAGCTGGTAGTTTTCTAAGCGTTACTTTCCCTTTGTCGAAACCCTTGTTGCTCAATTCATACATAAACCTATATTTTTTGTTGTAGAACTTTTGCGTGATTTCGTATTGACAAATGTACTTTGACGGGGTCTTTAAACAGAAAAAGATTAAATATAATTATAAAGACAAATATTTAATGACAATCAGTTGGGTACCGAAATACGAAGCCGATAACATGCAGGCTTGGTTTGTTTTCGTGTTATGTTTGTTTTTCCGATATAGTCAAGTCGGATATTCGTAGAGACAATGTTGATTCCATTGAAAACGTGTTTGATTGAATTAGATAGAACAACGACGACTCATTCCAGTCTTAACAGTACATGGCCTACAATGTTGATAGCAAGCGACCAAATTCTATACATTTAAGCGAAACTACTTCACAATCTCAACATTTTTGGATTGGAAAAGGGTTAGGAATGATCTAGTCAAACCCCGTTGGAGATAAAAAGATATGGGGAGATAAGAGTGATATTTTTACTATACCGGCAGATCAGTGTGTGCAAACCTGAAGTAATCAGGAAACTATGAAAGTTCAAAGGATAAATGACAGCTTTATTACTTTAAGATGAACTGCAGTCAGGATCATAATAATGCCAGGAAAGTATAATAATAAATGAAAAACGGGGTCCAATTTCGAACCAACTTCATTGGGCATTTAGATTAATATTGATTCAAATCAATTACTTGGACCTTATTAATTGTAGGCTATACTTGCCAAGGTGAAAATTACAAAATCAATCAAATACGATCCCGGTTGATTTTAGGCTGCAAAATCAATCGTCCTCGGAATACCAACAGTAAACTAGACGTCATTTACATTTGAACTTAATCCAATAACTTTTATTTATCCCTACATTTTACCACCCTAGTTAACCCAGTTACAAAACATGATCGCGTATCACCTCATCTTTATCGATCGCCGACCTACAGTCGATAGTCCAGATTTCCTTCGCAACTGACCTTGTCATCCCACTAATAGGCTATTTTTCAAGTCGTGAGTAAAATTATTCATCAAGGACGATCCTGCTCGTTTAAGCTGATTCGAGGTTCCATAAATGCAACAGCCGAATATCTAGACGATCTTGACTTCATTGCATTTCAACGTTTACGCCTTCAATTCGAGATCCTAATTACAGATCATTTGGAAGTTGCAACTCTTCATTTTTTCCCGTGGCTCCAATAAAATTTGAATCTTTTTAGCGTGTCAGATGCGTGGAAATGCATAAAGATACATTAGTTGCTCCACTGTCTTCGCAATCCAGATACGTTATTGGTCTTCGGGCGTTTCAAGACCACTGACCACTACATCGTCTGGTGCATAGAGTGGTACACTAAACTAAATAATAGTATTTACATTTTACACGACGATTCTCCATTTTCATTCCGTCAACGGTTAGAAAAAAAATACGAAAACTAATGGATTGCGTTAGATCGTACCAAGTTAGTTCGTAGATAATATATCTATGCAAATAAACACAAGAACACGAACACAAGAACCATAGGGCATACACATGCCCTATTTATAGTTAAATAATGTATAATTAAGCAAAAACCTACACTACATACAGTTTTATAGTGAGTTGATAATTGTAAAAAACATATAACAAACAAAAAGGTTACTTAGTTTTTCAAATCCTACAATATTTCAGGATGAAGTTTCACGTGTGTTCAATAATACTATGTTACGGCAAATTACTTGAATTCTTCAAAGTTAATTCTTGTCTTTCAATAAGGGCCGCTACTTAGTTAGTGCTGTACATGAAAATTACGAAGATGTATAGTCTGTATGGTGGGACCTGTCTCGTGACCTTCCATCTTCCTGTGTATTGGCAAGTTCGAGGGTTTATTGTCTGTGGTTCCAGGTAAACCCGGGCAGGAGACAGGTTCCATCATGCAGACTAAAGTAACCGACGTTTCGAACGCATTGCAGTCAGTCCATGAAAATACTTCTCAAAACGTTTGCTATTATCTTCGCCGTATTCATCTACGTCACCCGACACCAGGAATTAATACCTTTAGGAATCTACCTTGGAAGCCTATAACAAAAAGGCAAATAATTTTGCCTGGAGAACTGAAATCGTAAACGAAAACTGAATAAAAACATATAGCAATTTTAGAATAAAAACTTTAATAGCGCTAACCTTCGCGAGGGCTTTAAATACGACCCACTGACATGATTGACAAGATTTGGCGTTAAGGGACTACTTGGAGCCAACGTTGCAGAAGTTTGCCTCGATTAGTGTGCTAAGGTGATTGACAGACAGGTCTACAAATCTCTCACGTCCACTTCCCACAATCACACGGTCAATGCCGTCATTTGGATCAAGTACAAACGAATTCTAAATGAGTAAAATATAAGTCCTGGGAGTACAGTGTTGTAATGAAAACCCACAATGGAAAAGAAACGTACATTATATGATTCTAGGTACATCTTAGGACACATGACACTGAAACCAGCAGCAAATTAACAGATTAGTTGTAGTAATTAATTGTAAAATCAAACGGATAACTGAACTCAAAAAATGTATGAAAAAGGTACACATCACATTGGAATATTTTTGTAAATAACACACTTAACATTTAAAGGCGACCTAGTAACATTTCAGACAAAAATAAACGAGAGCTGTAAAGTAATAACCTGATGACGGATGAAGAGAGAAAATTATGTTTGAAGAAAAGAATTACCATAAAATTAACTGCAAAAAAGCTCCATTGCAGGATGTCAATGTAAATAGATTGATTCAATTAAGGAAGATTAATTTGCAGATTCAAATAAAACTTTAACATACTTCAAATATGTAGAAGGCATTAAACATTGTATTTGTTACATTAACTCACAGAGGAGTGCGTCGAAATAACAAAGCTAAATATATACTTTTGGGGTGTTTTGGGGTGAACAGAAAAAGTTTCAATTAAAACTGGATTACGTTAAATAAAATAAACAACAAGCCGACTAATATTTTAGCCAAACAGTCTTAATACAAGATAAAAATTTAAAGTTTTTGGATGTAACATAACAAAGTTTTGAGACTGGCAATACGTTAGTATATAAAATACGAACAATTTTATGTTTCGACAAAGAATTGATAAAAATAATCACGGCAACAATTTATTAAATCTTTGATTTATCCTAAAAAAAAAATAATCATCCATCTTCCCTATAAATATTAACAATAGACGAATCCTATTAAAAATACACGACGTAGACTAATAAAAAAGTAGTTTTACTGAAACGTGAAAAAGCCAATGAAAATATGATTTAGTGAACAATTAATGTATACCCAAAGGGGGGAAGTGTCAGAAGTTTAACTTAACTTGGCGTCAAGTACTCAAGAAGTTGTATAATTAGTTTATAATCCAACTTTTCTTGCACAATATTAAGATTGCAAAGTGATAAATAGACATATTTTAAATTTAATTAAATTGTTTTGTTTGCATGATTTAAAACATAAAGCTCTGATTTCTCTAAGCTTATCAAAGCATTTAATAAATATAAATATGTTTTCAAAAGTATCATGCCATAGTGCAAACCTAACCACATTTACAACTATTATAAACGTCCAGGATATAATTCTATCATTGTCGTTATAATAAATATTTTCGTAAATTATTGATAATTTTATTCCCTTTACTCAACGTCCCTATTTAACTGAAAACATATCATTCCGTCATAATGAACTGATACTCAAAACTACAATATGGTGTCCTATTTTTCGAATCACGTGCAAATGAAAACGTTGACGCTACATAAGTTTTGATTGTCTAGCGCACTCTTGGGAAATGAAAATATTAAACAAATAGAGGAATATACTACTGTATTGTATGTATTTGAAATTCCGTACTTTCCTAGTTTGAACGTGATTGCAAACTTAACATTACTGTACTTGAGGATTATTAGGTATTTTAATGGACTATAGTATAACACGCTTATAGTATAACAATTGCCAAAGGAGTGACATAAAGAAGCGTATGTAGTATCATACCTATATTATTTTGTACTAATTTTGCACTTTGGACACCTTTTTGGGAGATTTGTAAAAATTACGTTTTTAGCTTAGGAACAAGGCTATCTATTACAAGAAATTATTGAAGGAAACTTTACTCGTTCACAGTTTGTTATAATTAATTAAACATTTTAAAACATTGCACTATGTCTTTAACTTAACTGGGTTTATTATACCAGGCCTTAAATTTGCTGTTTAGTTTAACTAACCTTACCTACAGAGAAAATGCCCTATATATTATATCACTGAATTTAAAGCGTTGTACTGTACCGGTATATACTTTGTTTTACTTTCTATTGAAATCCACTTTGGAACTGTACGATTAACTGACTTAAATTAAAAATAGCCATGTTCACTATATAAACAAATAAACCAAAATAACCTTTGTTTAAATCAAAACTACACCTTTGTATAGACCTGGTTTCCAAATATCTAAACACAATGTTCAAACTTAAATAATGTGTATATCCAAAACACACACGGTTGTCACACAACACTCGCGTATCGCATATTCATCGCATTATCGTATGGTCGTATATCGTAGACTCGCGAGAGACTGCAGTTTGGCGGGCAACTGTTGCAAGAACGCGCCAAAAATAGCTCCGGAGGAGGGGAGTCTTGGCACCAGCTGGGAAATGACCAATGGTTGACCAACATTGGGCAAATATGTTCATATTTCATTGTAATGTTTGAAAGGTGTGTATTGTATTAACCAACACCTACTGTAGTTTAGCCTAAACTGAACTTTTCTGTGTAAATATTGATGTGAAGAGTACTATGCGTTTTACCAACATTTAAAACGTAAACTTGAGATCCAAATGCTAGTTTATATAATAACTCCAACGTATTAATTAAACAAGAATAAAAATTAGATGGAACAAACGGTACCGAGTTGTAAATTATTGCCAATCCATTATTCTCCGATGATAGTTAATTCTGTTTTGTATAGGTTGAAAGAATAATTTCATTACTTTGTTGGTGCGTATCCTACTGTGTATGTCGGTCTTTTTGGGCTGGATTCATATGTTACTAGATCACATATTTTACCACAGAAAAAAGAGGATATTTTCTACTCTCAACTTTGTGATATAATGTAGCCGTGACCTCCACAAATCGCGGCGAGACTAAAGTGGCAACACCGCATTCCCGGCCTACTGTGACACAGCTGATCATAATGGAGCGTCAATATTTATGTTTACACGTTTGTTATTACTGTTATTTTATTACCATGGCAATAGGCCGGCTGATGCGACAATGCCACACACCAACGCCGCGGCCTTGTATTAGATGAGGCTATTGTATTAGATATTACAACTTTAATATTTTAATTTAATCGGCGCCTAATTTGTACACAGTACAGTACTTTAACTATAGCTTTTATGCTATTCTACTAAACTTCCTCTTTTGTCAACTATTATTATTTTACACCCATTACTTAAAATATTGCAATCTATCGTGTGCAAATTTGTATTAATTATTCTAATAAAATAAATACAGTACTACGAAATTGTATCCGCTAGTACAAGAACTATCTAATAAAAATAAATAAGCCATAGCAATTGACAGCGTTTATTCATTAAACTTGGTCTAAAATATAATTAAAACAAACCACCCGCAACCATAATAATTTATTAGTAGATTGTCGAGCATTCCACCACAGTCCCCAAAGTAAACGAGCAACTGTTAGCCACAACAAAACATCCACCACAGGCTGTCTATAGTCACTGACCTTCTTTTGAACGTTGATTTTCTCGGCAGTTGGTGTTTGTCGCTAAAAACAAAACAAAGTAGAATTTAATATTTTGTAAAATACAGTTGAAATTGGTTGATTAACGAATATTCTTTCAATATGATACGTAACAACAAACAAGATTGAACATGCATACGATGGCACAGCGAACGTGAAATTTGAATGCAAATGTGATGATGTTTCTATGATCGTCGAGATGAAGTTATGCATGTCGTCATAAATGCACAATGCAGGTCAAACATAAGTTTGCAACTATTATTAAATATTAAATGTTTTTAAAACAACCACATAAAATGGTGTTATCATCATTGGCCACTGTAAGTGAAATTTTCCATGTGTACGAAATGTGTATATTTCAGCTTAGGCCAATTCAGTCGTATTGCAACATAAACTGCATCAACACTCAAAATAACTAAGCTAAAGATAATATTATTCATTAAAAATACGATTACAGTATATTCAGGAAAGTAATAAAGATACAGTATTATTATTTAAAACACTTGGCACCAGTTACCAACCACATGTAACATAAAATATTAAGTATATATTTTAACCAAAAGCCTGTGTATTATTTATTTTAAAAAATTGGAATCAGTTTCAGAAACTTCTGTTTTGTCATTTTAAAGCCAAATCTATCATGCCACTAATACAAGTAATCATTAGGCCTAATTTATATGGGTATGAGCTATACCAACAGGTATTTTCGTAAAGGGTTTCCATATCGTTAATCTTCTGTTGAAAAAATTACGTTGTGAACACACATTTTAAATATTACGTGGAAATATTGTAGACGCTATAATATACCTTTAAGTTATCAGCGAATTGTCGAATTTCAGCATTTACACTCAGCAATTGCGTCGCCGTTATGCTCACAATTGCCGGATTTCATTGAGAATAATCACACTAAAAGACCACGCGGATTCAGCAAGAGCTTGGTCGTTTTACGGTTCAATTCTTTTTACTTTGAGTCCCTCCAATTAAATTACACTTCAATCTATCACATTTAAATAGTGCACTGGACCAATCAACATTAAACACTTCTTTACCAACCCTTAAAATGAATTTTGTCACATAATATTTTCAAGCTTAGTTCAAATAAACAAAAACAATCTAATATGTATGCATCCACAACAGAACAGCAGTATTGTTGATAGCTTTTGTCTGTCGTCTGTTGCCTACCACAATGTACGTACATTGTCAACATTGCAATCACAATCTGGACGTAGGCAAGATGAGACGTGTAACTCATGCATATTAAACACTATCTGACAGCTCATTCCACGCCAGCATGGCCATTACTTCAAGGTAGGAAAAAAACTTATTTAGCAACGTACGCTCAAACAAAAGCACTATTTATTACACCTCGTTCTCAAGATAAACATCGGTTTACTAAATGTCAGTTACCATAGATCACAAATTTTAGCCAGTAACAATTCCTCAATACATTATTGCCAAAAACGTGGATGTGTAATGCTCGAATCAATATTAGATCACGTGTCTATGATGGTTACTGGTCCTTGGGCCATACCAAGGCCGCACTAGATATACGCCATACTGTCTATGGTCTATGGGACCGATACTATGGTTACTGCAATGAGTATTGGGCACAAATTTTAAAACAGAAGCGGTATGGATCATAATCATAAACAAATTATGTAACTGGGCCGAATCCTTTACCAGTACTAATAACATGTACCTATAGCTTGGACAGTTCCATTTAAGATTTAAGTAATGTTAAACTACCTTTACTTTCGGGACAGTGACATCATTTGTTTATGTGTATGGTGCATGCCGTTTCTGTTCAAATATTCATGGTATCGGGAGTGAGGAAATGATACGAAACTAGATGAGAACGCAAAGAGAAATAAGTCTTTTAGTACTATACAGTAAACTACAGTGTGACAACAGTAGACGTAGCGGGTTCGGTACTTACGTATCATACCGACCACACCGATAAATCGACTTCCAAATAAGATTTTAATTACCATAGTTTCAATAAAAAAATCTTACCTACCTAACCTAGTGACCCTTAGGTTAGGTTAGGTTATTATTATTAGGTGTGGTCGGTAGTATCGTCATCTCCACAAGAAAAAAGCCATAACAAAAAGGGTATACACAAAATTATTGGGATTTACTAAGTGATTATAATAAGTGATTATATTGCTCGCCTCCATGGATGATTACAAGTTCGATCCCGATTTCCTTGGAAAAAATGAATGGCGTTAACAAACAACAAAAGCCCATCAACTAGTATTTTAACATTTTTGACATTTTCGTAAACATTGTAACATTTCAATCAATGGACAACACAACTACAGGACACGACACAGCAAGTTGATCACCTTGACGTTAGCACAGCCATGGCGCGGCTCGTGTTACAACAAACACACTTATCTGTCAGGTGCAAATATTTGTATCTCGCGTCCCTCGTCGTCTACCACAGGATTTGGCAAACCGAGCAAACTACTACATAATTGTTGATGTCGTTTAGCTATTACAATTCAAATGTTGGATTCATTACTGTGTAAAAACGAGTTTCGTACGGATATCAAATTGCTATGCACGATTGTTGAATTAATTCACTATCAGTAAAATAACCATAAGGATCTTTTCAAGAAGAGGAAACCCAGTTAAAATATGCCCTATGCAAGTTAAGTTATACAAGTTATAGGCCAGGTTATATTCGGTTATGTTAGACTAAGTTAGCTATATAGGTTAGGTTTTAGCGTGTCTAGTAGCTAATAGGTTCGGATACGACCAGACTAGGTAGGTTTAGGTCAGGTTAAGTTAGGTTAGGGTTAGGTTACGTTGGGTTGGCTTTATAGGTTAGGGGGTATTAGGATCCTAATAGGTTAGGTTTTTGCCAGTTTAGGTAAGGTTAGGTCAGGTTATAGGGTATTAGGATCCTAATAGGTTAGAGTTTTGCCAGTTTAGGTACGGTAAGGTTAAGCCAGATTAGTTTACGTTAGGTTATCTTTATAGGTTAGGATTTGGCTTAAGTAATGTTAAGTCAGGTTGATTTAGGTTAAGTTTATCTTGTTCACATTACGTTCATTTACATAGGGCAATTTTTAATAGTGGCATTCCTCGTTTTTATGAGACACTACATTAGAGTGATCATTAAATCGCACTCCTCTGAAACCTTCAGCAGATCTGAGTAGGTTTTTTGATTAATCTATAGCTACAAGACCAAGACATACAGGCTTGACCGTGACTCTACCCAAGGACTCGGGAGAGACATCAGAAGGCTGTGATTAGTCGATCAAAATGTCCGTTGAATCACGAAAACACTCGACCAGCCAGCTGGCAAACTGCCCAGCCTCAAACACGCGACCATCAGTGGACAAAGCGGTGATGATGGCGGTGCAAAACGAGGTGGACACAACCAAGATGTCATATCAGCTGTAAAGGGAATCGAACCACCTGGAGAGGGAATCGAACCTCTCAAAGCGATTATTTCAATTACTGATCCAACATACTAGGCCTACGATATTGATGCAGCATACCACTTTGTTAACATTTGTTGTCAGCTTTTAGCAGTATGTGCTATTGTAAATTACTGAGATTTTGATAAATCAAAAAATAATTATAATAATTTTATAACCACACCGACTATCCTGGTTCATTACGTAAAAGTAATATTAAATTAGTGTCCCGTTCAAATTTATTTACCTAGCCTATTTATCTGACTCCTCCTTCTGTAAACATCATAAGTTAGAGCTACTAGAGCTATAAGCTTATAGCCAAGC